AATCTCTTGTTAAATCCTCTCAGTATAGTAATAGTACATATTTAGTAATTGGCTAAGTCTGTGTTAAAAATTAAGTACTCCATAAATTTTGATACTTACGTTGCAAGAAAATAGTTTAAAATATTAATTTTTTTATTAGTATTCTAATATTGTTGTTGTGGTTTGATTTAGTGCTATTGCGTACTTTTACTTTTTTGCAAGGGTTTATCTCTGCCCCACACTAAGTTTTAATTATAGTGGAATTATTAATCGTCCCTATAAAGCGGTACCCTTATAATCCGTTTATATATTACGCGATTTCAATCTCCCATATAACATGGCCAATCTCCCATAAAATGCAGGGATTTGTACAGTTCATAATTAGTTTCGCGTACCTTTGCAAGTGTGTATATGGGGTATACGGGTATACCTTTATAACGTGTTTTTCTATAACGCAGAACCAATCCACCGCGTTATAGGAGGGTTTATTGTATATTTCATAATATTTTAAATAACGAATTTTTTTTGAATAGTGAATTTCTTTTTTCCTTATGTACTCTGAAGATAGTAGACTTATATATAAATATTATAAACATTTTTTAAAAATATATTAAAAATTTTAACACAAATTTATAATTGTTTTTTATTAACATTTTTATGTGTTAAATAAACGACCTAAGCCCGGTAAAAATAAAAAAATAATTTTAAAGTTCTTGATACTACAGTTATATTATTATATATATATAATATAATATAATATATAAATATATATATATATATTATCTATATGTTTGGTGTAAAGAGTATTATAAATTTTGCCATAAAGTTTATATTGAAAAGAAATATTTAAAAATTTTTAAAAGCAAACTTCTGATATGTAAAGTAAACCAAAAATTTGTTAAATTTACTTTAAATTATTTATAAAAAACTTATGAAGCATGTCAGTAGTGTTGGCAGTCCTTGCTCGGATTAAGAATTTCTGTGCACTGACATAGGATAACGAGATTTAGCGATTAGATTTTAGAATCCTTCCTAACGAAAAAAAATGAAAAATATAATAATATAAACTATGTTGATGAAAAAGTTTTATTCAGTTTGAATTTTATAAAATATACGATAAGTTGCATATAAAATGCAAATTTTAATTTAATAAATACGAGTATGCCAGCGCACCAGGAGCTAAAACGTACTGTTATTATATGTGATATGTCAGATAAAGGTATGTGTGTGCAATTCCCTACACTCTAGTTGCTAAGCAATATATCAAAAATCTATGCTTCCAGTGAATCCTGTGTATATAGTAAATCTAGTAACTAAGCTGACCAAGTTTCCTTGCAATCAATTTTGGTTGCTCGTACATGCAAAAACTTTAAATGAAATAAGCAGTTTTCTATGGCAGGAAGGAGTTTCGCTGTTGGGGCATGGGACGACACTGCACGGAGTGGTTACAAACTCATCCAAATAAAATGCTCCAACATACTGAAAGGAAAAGGAATATGACAATTTCTTTTTTAGTTTCTTTATTTTTATTTCTATTTAAGAAGAAATAAGAAGAAATGTTCATTTTTACGCTCATATTTTAGTGGGGCGAAAAGATAACAAGAAAATGAGTGCGTCAAGCGTGAAATTAAATTGAAACTTTTCCTTTGTTTGGGGGGTGAAGAAGGATAATTGTTGGAATTGGCAAAAATATGATTTGGTGTGACAAAGTAACATTGATATATGGGGTAATTGGTTCAAAGCTTAAAATTTCTAAATTGTAGAGGAAAAGTCTAAATTAAAGTCAAAAAGTTTTCATAAAAATATTCCATTGGTTGGAAAAGTTTATACATATCGGTTGGGTCAGCCTTGCGGTCAAATATTCTGACATGGGTTACAGTTAATGACATTTTTATTTTCAAATAACATACACATTACTTTTTATTTTTTATACTACGTAAAATGTATTTAAAACAATAAATCTTAAATACAATTTGGGAAGCATTTTCAACCGCAGTCATTTAAATTTTAATCTCTTTTTTTTGTATCGGAAAGTCTACAAAATTTTATATCGGACTTTACCGTCTGCTTCATTTCGGCATTATAATTAAAAAAACAACCTTTTTTATTTTGTTTTTATTTATAAATTCTCAAAGGACTATTGTTGCTACTGGCTTATCCTTTTTTTCTGACACCTGATGCAAGTAAATGAAAGTCATAAATATTTAAAACTCTCATCTGCCGCACTTTAATTTGATTACATATTTCGGTTTTCAAACTGAAAGTCCTTTTATATAAATTAAATCGGAAAGATATTCATGTGGTGTCTGTAACAGACAATTTTACTATTGCCACTTTTTGTAAAAAAATAAACTTGAAATATATATGAGGTTATGAAATAAGAGATTCTATTAATTTTTATAATGAACAGGGCATTTCAAAAGGAAGTGTAGAGATAAAAGAAGAATACAAAGAATAAAAAAACAAAGTTTGATAATTATAAGATAACAAAAAATGAGTTTTCATCAGTAATTTTCCGACTAGGCACTTTGCCAAGAACCCGTAAACTCGCAACAATCATAAAGTTCTTGAAAGTGAATAAAAGTCTTATTTTTTTTAAACATAAAATGTTCAAAAAGACAACTTTCTTTATGTGGTATATTACCTGAAGGAATAATACTAATTCTGTTTAGTATATTCCTGAAAACCTTTATACAATTCCATCTCTCAGGTTTAGTACAAATTCGAAAAGAAAGACTCAACCTAAATACTAATAGATCAAGTTCTTCTTTTAGTAAAGTAAACTTTTTTAATGCAATATTAGGGATTTAGTCAGATTCATAGAACTGTCAGGTTGGTTTACCATCACCTAATGGGAGAGTAGTTGTCTTCTTTGACGTTGGTCGTGTACAGACCACCTAGTCTATGCACTAACCATCGCTATTCCCATAACGGGCCGTTATTTGAGCTTAAGTGAGCTTTCTTGGTACACAAGAGCGCTACTGCAACCTAACCTAACCTAAAGTCCACTTTAAGCACTAGAAATTCACTAGAAGAAAAACTTCTTTTTAGTCTAGTTCTTTACAGTTAGTCAGAGCGTAGTGACATGAGCAACTTTCTGCTGATTATACGTGTTAAAAGTCAATTTAATGTGATTACCACACTCAGAGAAATAATTTGGTTAATTTAATCAGATTTAACCTAAATCATGGGTTAAAATATTTTTACTCGACTCATCATGTTGGTTCAACCATACCACATGTTGGTTTTCATATCTTCTTTACCACATGAGTTGAAATTTCTCTAACAAAATGATCAGGTCAATTTAATAAATATGTGGTTAGAGCATATATTTCTGGGTGCAGAAAATTTGGAGTCTATCATAGTACTTTATTGTCGCAAACTCCTAACAAAATTTTCACAACTGACTTTTAAAAACGTGAGTCGCATCTGGATCATCAACGTAGAAAAACTCCATGTTAAAAGTGATGATAATTTAACATCAAAGCCATACATCAAGCTGGAGTTTGTCAAGGGAACTTGATGACAACATCTGTTAACATATTTTTTTATAGTTGACATACAAAAACGATTTCATATCAGTGTTATTATTCTCTGACTATGCTTAAAATATATTTTTTAATCGAATAACAAAACTTGTGGTACCAAAATTCTAGAGACTAAAAATTGAAAAACATAGAAAAGTTGGGTCTAATATTCAAATAAACATTTCTCTGGAAAATTCACAAGTAAAAGGAAGCAATGTTATTGAGCTAGCACTAATCAGATTATCCGTCAAATAATCCGGCCAAGACTATATACTTTGGTTAAACTAACTATTAAGTAATTAATATTAAGTCAGAACAAATCGCTAAAACGGTTGTAGATAAACCGTAGCACATCAAAAATGTGGATGTAATAACGTCAGTTTTTATTTTTGAAGCAAATATTACCTCTTAATAATTATGGTAATGAATTCGATACTTTAAATTTATTTAATAATATTAATTAAAAAATATACGTATATATATTTAATTAATTTTTTAACAAAATATTTTCCTCAATTAAGGTAACAATTCATTTTCTATTTTTAATGAAAAGTGTTTTTTCCCAAAGCAATTTTATTTAATTTATTTTTATTATTAAAATTAAGAGATTCTTAGTACAAACTATGTATATGAAAATAATTTAAAAATAAATGAAGAATTACAAAAACGCCTACTTTTGTGAAAAAAAAATTACAGGGGCGTGTATTGTTTGTTGTACTGAGATAATATCTTTGTGGCTAGCCAAATATATTTATGTAGTCCCAGTGACCGTACCGAACCGAGGAAGTATCAACAATTGTAGAGCTTACAAGCTAATAATTGCAATTGATTGGCATTGAAATGCCGGTCCTGCTTTATTAAAAAAGCTATTTGCTTTGTAGCGCCCATGTCATAATTCTTCGCGACCAGTTAGATAACCGCACATATTGTCAATCAGCGTATAATGAGTTCATAAAAACAAACAAGTGGCAGCACCGGGAAGAACGTGTTTAGATTTTAAGTCAGACGTCAAATTGAGTTTCTCAAGAAATATATTAAAAACTCCAACGAAGCATGAATAGAAAAGGAGGCGTTCGTTAATAAACATAAGAGAAGTTTACAAAGTGAGCGAGGTAAATTCCAATTCCATCAGTTGAAGTACGTGTGCATTGCAACTTTAATCACGGGACATGCTGCACTTGCTCCTAGAGTGTAGTGTAGGTATATCTGATGGCCACTTATCTCTGATTTCAGTTAAGTGTGCTAATAACTTTATTTACGTTGCTGCTTTTGTCATTAACATAATAATTTTTCTGAAGGAAATTAAAGAATCCTGCACTTTAATGTAGTCAGCAAAAATATGTAGTCAATTTTAGAAAAAAAATTTATCAAGTACACTTTAGAAATTTTAGTTTGAAATAAAAATTAAGCATAGTAGGCTATGTAAAAAAAAAATAATTAAAAATTATATTCCTAATTTAAAATTAAATATTTAATACACAAAAAATTGTTACTTTAAGCAAATGTTTAAATATAAAACCGTATTTAATTATATTTTGTAAATAACTTATTTACGAATCGTTCATCTCACGAAATTCTTACAATGCCTCCAAATCACTTTTTGAAATATTCGTGTCCGAGTTCATCTTCAATTGACAGTGATGCTTACGAAATTATTGATCTAAGAAGACGAATGACCCGGAATTGGCTGAATGATCAACCGAGTACATATTCACCAGACACAGATGTAGAGAATTTTACCAAGAGATGGTCTAAATTTTCATCCAGACTTTCAAAAATGACTAAAAAAAAAGGTAAGCCACATCAGCCTTCTAAAGATTATAATATATAAAAATAAATAAAACTACAAGCAGAACATGAACGAAAGAAGTACCCAGATGTTAAAAATAAAGCTATGCGGAATCCACATATCCCCAAACGCGGTGTTAACTTACGTAGCAATTTTCTGAATGAACCTGTAATAGAGTTACCAGACGATTCAGGAGATGATGAAGCAAAAGCGGTTCCAGCATTAAAGGTATTATTGTCATTAAAAATTGTCGCTAATTCTTAAGATTCTCCTAATAAAAAATAGTTCAGCTCAGCACATATGTATATTAACCAGATACCAGATCTACAGTTATCTCCAAAAACACAAAATATTTATAATGCTAAGGTTCACTTTCCTCATAAGCAATACCATCGTAATTGTAGAAACAAGATTCCAGAACAAAAACTATGTTCTTCTGTTAAAAACCCTTGTGACTACAAGAAGCAAATCCCTTGTGCAAAACAACAAAGTAATTGGGATCAACTACCTTGGAGGGAAGTTATGTTGGAAAAGGAACGTATGAAACGGCAAGTTGATAATACGCCAGTCCTTGAAATTCAAACATCAGCAAAGACAATCTATGAACGACGCGTTATGGACAATAAACCAATAAAAACCTCAAAAGAAGAAGCATGTACATATAAAATTCCACTTGAGGGATTATATTTCAATGACAAATTTGATAGCAATCGCGATACAGAAGTTGAGTATGAATTACAAGACAAAGCTGCCAAAAAGAAACAAAAATTTAATAGAATTTACAATAATCCTGATAAATATAAAAATAAGCCAACGAGAGTAGTTCAAAATGAAGATTTACATATTGACTCCAATGATGAAGAGAAATTCGTTAATTATCAGTTGAGAATGAGGCAGAAAGATTCTTTGGAACTCAATCGTTTAAAACAAATGCAAAAACATCTTCCAAAAAATGTTAACAAGCCTAGAAAGTGTGAAGAAATAGAAGAGAACGCTTTTGAAGATGAAGAGTGCCCCGTGGCAAAAGCCATTCGAAAGAAAAAAGTAACAGGCACACAAATTCATTTAAGTCCAAATCAACAACATAATCTCAAGACTTTGCATGAAATGATGAAAAAGATTGCTTCCAGAAAGAAACGTTCAAGAAATGAAAAACAGATCCAACAGGAAAAGTTCAACACATGCTGTGATTCAAAGGAACATTTTTACTCTAAAAATAAGAATACTGAAAAGAAATCAAATAATCGCCAAAAAAAGGAGATTCTATGTAAAAATTGTAGTCAAGAATATATAGATAATGTGCTTGACCGGGAAGAAGAAGAATTAAAGGCACATTACTTACAGAATGAATGTATACACCCTAAAGATAGCCAAAGTGAGGAATCTGATACAAGTAACGAAATATATGAATATAGTCCAGATGAATTAATAAAAGAAAGAGCAAAAACTCAAAAACTATTACGAGAAGAGGACAGTTGTTTCAGGAAAATATTGATACAACATTTGATCAGAAAAGGCAAGCTACAAAGAAGACTTCGTAAGATTGATGGAAACAAGGCTAGTAAATCTGTACAGACAGATGAATTTGCATTTTTAAAATATTTGAACGAAAATGGTTTCAAATAATAATAAATGTTAGAAAAAAGTGCTTAGTGTATTCTGGCGAAATTTTATGATATAATAAAGCTTGATTCCACATAATTTTGATCATCTTCTTATTTAAAAATATGGTAAAGTTATGTCTACTTATGTAGCCTTCAACGGTTATAGATTTGGAAGTGGTGAGAAAATTGCATAGAAAACTTTATTCACATCTAGTGATTTAATTTAAGGTATGTTTAATTACCGTTTTAGATATCATGGTAGACTTAAAATGCAATTAAAAATGTCATGAGAATAAGTTACTAGTTGAATCAAGCTCTGCGACTTTAGCAGATTTTTTGTGCTAAAAACAAACCTCTTTCCAACAAAACATCTAAATACACAACGAAACGTCTATCATGAAGGAGTTCTAATATCAGATGAGACCATTAGTCCTCGGTATAGTATTTTCTTAACATTAATTCCATCTTCTTATAGGCAGCGCCGAAAAATTCGTGTTTTCTTGAAATCGTAGCTCAGCATGGAGGGACCTGTCAGATAACTTGTTATTGTACACAGATTTATTCTATTTACAAATGACGTCTCTATTTAAATGATGACGCCGTCAAAGCTCATTTGGTTTTGACTTAAAATTAGGTGCTGAATTGCTGCTTGAATTATGTGTATGGTATGTTATACTATTACTAGAGAGATGGAAATAGTTGGAGATTTTATTTAACAACTCTATGCTTCTGATGGAGTACCGCTAATAATAATTAACACTTCAGCCTTTATAAGTTTTAACCTGGAGTTTTGTCACAGTTTTGACATTTTTTGATATATATCCAGTAAGGACTTAATTATGCATCAATTAATTTCGTTATTAGACTTATGGTAGATCCATAGTATTGTATGAGGAAACTGGTTCGTACAGGATTATCTGCGATTGCATGGAATTTGATTCTAACTTGGTTTCAGCTTGTAAAAAGCTATTGAATTGCTGCTAGATAATTTATATAGATATAGACATGGGCACCAACTTAAGTATATACATCTAAATATAAATCACACTAATATAAAAAATAAAACGGGTATATAATTCGTTCTATATCGATTCTATTATTTTTAATTTTTACACGTGTATGTCTCTGAGAAATAATATACATTTAGGGGCATTATAATACTGAAAACAGGAAACTGATATATAACCAAATAATTCGAATTGCACAAAGCCAGGCTCTGAGAAGACTTTTCAAAGTACCATGGTACATTAGGACGAATGACATCCTCAGGGACATTATGATTGATCCCATCGAAAAATACATAAAGGATAGAGCCCTGAAATTATTTGCGAATACTGACAGACTTACAAATACCGCGTTATCAAATCTCAAAATGGTTACAGGCTCCTCGGGGTGGTATGCAGATCTGAGGTCAATTATTGCTTAGTCTGATGAAGTGATAATCAATAATCTAGTCAAGGTGTAAAGAGGGGTTTTGAAAATACCTCGAGTTAAGCAAGAGTAAAAGTGCTTAAGTGTACTGGCTCAGCAGCTTCAACATAATGATAAATTGGTAGTACAAAAAAGTTCTTAGCTATTCAGATATCAAAAATGTGTTTCACTTTATGAACCAAATAATTCGCAGCAGTCATTAGTCAGTATTAAATTTACATCATATGATGTTAGCCTCGCTTTCATAAATACTAGGAATTAGGTATACTTATGACTCTTGCTTAATGAAAATTTTACACTTATTCATTTAATATGTAGTATAATTTATTTTAATAGGTTTAAGTTAAATAAGTTATGGCATCACATATACTCTGGCGTCAATATTTTTTTTAAATTTTCTTTAAAAAATATATTAAAAAAAATATAATGTACAGAGTAAGAAATATGTATGTAATCAGCTGTCTTGAACATATAAAATCGAATCCTGACATTTTTGCATAAAAGCAATTTGGTTTCGCATCTTTTTAATTAGTTTTCCTTTAATTTATTACTTTAATGACTGATCTTGCAAGTGCAGTGCAATAATTTAGTGAGTGAAGTCTGTTCAGCAGGTTCTTTGAAACGAAGTTCCACGACATCTCCAATGGTGTTAAATAAGCAAATAACACTGTCGCAATTCCTTCCACAAAAAAATTCTTTTTCGGCTTTTGTCACTGAACGCAGACGCGGTCGGATCAAAGCAAATTTGTATGAAATTCTATGGATGCATATGTGCTACGCAAGTCGAAGAAATTCCAGACGATGTCGGAGCATGTAAGAGACTCATAAATTATTATTGCACTAAGTGTGCCAATGCTTAAGTACGACTATTTAATATTGGAGGCTTTTCATTTAAATTACATATAAGCAGAAAATGTAAATTTTTATTCGGATATGTATAATATCAAAATATATGAGTAAAATATACATTTAGATTCATTTTAGACATAAAAACTATAACTTTGAAAATTTATATATGTACTTCTAGTAAATACTTATAGTAAATTATTTAAAAATTGTAGAAAACCTTTTTAGTGTAGGCAATATTGCTTATATATTTTCAATCAATATAGGTATAAAAGTTTGTTCGCCTCTAAGAATGTATTATTCTTATGTTGTAAGAGTTGTAAGTACAAAATAGATCTTCCATAGTTGGCCCCAGAAACAAATTTTTGTGTTTCGACTTGACATAACACTATTGCGTATTGCATTACTTTTATATTATACTACTTTTAAGTACAAAATAAAGAAACAAATCTCCTGAGCATCGTGGGACCCACGTCACTATTGACAATTATAAGTTCAAAGTTGTGAAAGACTTTGTTTATTTAGGAACCAGCGTAAACACTAAAAATGATGTCGGCATAAAGATTCAATGAAGAATTACTCTTGCCAATAGCTGTTACTTCGGGGTAAGTAGATAATTAAGAAATAAAGCACGCTCTTGACAAATAAAAATTACGCTCTATAAGTCTCTTATCATATCTGTCCTGCTGTTTGCTGCAGAAGCTTGTACAATTATCGGCAGTGATGAGAAAAATTCTTCGGAAGATCTCTGGTCCCTAATGTGTTGGCGATG